AGGTCTCGGAGAAGCCGCTCCAAATCTGCTGAACTTCAAAAGTCCAGATCCAAATCTGTTGAAAAAATAGAGGGCAAAGATTCTTCACAGAGGTCTCGGAGTAGCCGCTCCAAATCTCTTGAACTTCAAAAGTCTAGATCCAAATCTGTTGAAAAAATAAAGGGCAAAGATTCTTCACAGAGGTCTCGGAGTAGCCGCTCCAAGTCTCCTGAACTTCAAAAGTCTAGATCGAAATCTGTTGAAAAAACAAAGGGCAAAGTGTCTTCACAAAGGTCTAGAAGAAAACGCTCCAAATCTTCTGAACGTCACAAGTCTAGATCCAAATCAGTTGAAAAAGTAGAGGGCAAAGAGTCTTCACAGAGGTCTAGAAGCAAGCGCTCTAAATCCTCTGAGCGCAAACCACAAAAACATGATAGCGAATCGCGGTCTAGACGAAATCGGTCTCGGTCAGTAACACGTAAAAGAGTGTCAAAATCTAAATCTAATCATCGGTCTCGGACACGCTCTCTGTCACGTTCAAGACACAGAAGGAGGACTCGGTCAAGATCAGTGTCAAAAAGGAGACGGTCTTTATCAAGAGAGAGACACAAAAGATCTCAAAGGAACAGATCAAGGTCTGCTGATAGAAGAAGAAGAAGATCAAACTCAAGGGATCACCGAATAGTGCTCAGGTTACGGACCAGAAGTCGAACACCTATTCGACGAAAACGGTCTAGGTCAGTGGGAAGAAGACGAAGCTCTAGCAAATCACCAGTTCGACTAAGAAGATCAAGATCACCTGGGAGAAGAAGATGCTATAGCAGATCACCTGACCGTCAGAGAAGGTCCAGATCTTCCGATAAGTTTTCAAGCAGATCACCTAAACGTCTTACAGACTTAGGTAAGTAATGCTCTTATCGTCAGTCATTTTCATGGCTGTGTAGTGTTGACCTATGTAAACTTTGTTCTGCCTCTGATGAAGATAATAGAGTGAAACCCTAGCATTCATCAGGAATCTCTTCTAAGCAATTGTTTAATTTTAATAACAGACTTTTTGTTGGCATGGAGTATGCACTTTTAGGGGATTCAAGAGGATTCGAGTGTGTAGTTTGATTGAAAATGCAGCAGAAAAATGTGAAGGGTACAGGATTTTACAGGTTACTCCACATAGGCAGACCCCTGCACTCATGATGAACACTGAGGCTGAGAGTCTTCAGGTGCAAGTGCACAAGGATTTGCCCACACATTGTAATTGTAGTATCAAGGCCTTAATGTTTTTGTTAAGATGCAGTGATTCACCAGATTCATTTTTTCCCCAAGAGCATATAGTACATTATTTAAGAAAATGGAAAACAAAATATACATGTGGGAGTCCTCTACAGTCAGCATAATGTTTCTTTGCCAGTCATATTAATTCTCTTACCTCATTCGCAGCTTCTCTGTTGCTGTTCAAAACTACCTCCTACTTTATATGAAAACAGGCAGGACTGAGCAAGTAATCTGATTAACAAAGGATGTGAACTGGAGGATTCATGTGATGCACTCCAAATTTCCATGGGGCTTGAGGAGGAAAAATCTAGTGACTCTTCCTTACTTCCCTTAGGAGCTGAGCTTCCCTGTATTGAAACTATTTCTTTTAAGTTAGAACCGTTTAAGGATGCTGGGCTGAAATCACTGAGCATATTGAATAGATCTACTCACTTTGCCACCATGCATAGGTTGTCAGTGTTCCTATATTCTATTCTGTATCACATAGTAAGGTGGCAATATTTGGATGCAACTAGCTGGTTCCCAAGTTGTTGAGCAGAAATCCATTATGTTAACTACACGTTTCCACATAAGACTGGTGACTGAGGCAGCCTTAGTCAGAGGCAAGACTCAAGACACCTGGGATGTTATTCCAGATGCTGGAAAGCTGTAGTATGGAAGTTCATTTGCTCCTCATTGATTGCTGCCTGCATCAGGAATGACTTCCAGATCAAGATGTGGAAGACGACTTACCTAGAAATGTGAGGAACTTAAACTCTTTATTGAGGGCATGACCATAACCAAACATCACATATATGATTATAGCACTGAAAACAGCTCTTCAACTGTGTGGCAAGATGCAACAGATTTTGAGACTCTGATATGACTGGGGGGGGTGTCTCTTTACGCAAAAATGGAGACCAACCAAAAATTAAGGCTAAAAACAGTAATATCACACATTGTTTTCTTGGATCCTCTGCCTCTTTCCTGCCACAAGGAGCAGAGCTTCAATTTAATTTTTATCTTTGGGGAAGAGGAGGAATCCCCACTGTGAAGAATTGTAGTGAGGAGTTGATATTTCTTGAGTTTCTTTTTTGCTATTGGTTATTTAGATGTAATAGTTATTTTGGTAGCTGAAAGAAACTTCAGTATACTCCCACCCTAAAATAAATAAGTCATTTATATATTTTCTTTGGTTTATCTGTTCCTATCCATTCTCCCTGATTTTTGGAATAGTTTTGTTTCTGTTCCTTGTGTGTGCTCTGCTTCCTGACTTCACCTTGGGCCACATCTTATGCCCCTCACTTCACTCCTTTGTCTTTTCCCTCTCTCAGCCAGCCATACTACAGGTGCTAGAGTAGCTTTATATTCACGGCATTTGGGGAGGGAGGCAGATTATTAAATTGTTCCCAACCCCAGCTAGTCTCATTGCCTGAAGAAATGAGAGGATGAAGAGTTGAACAGCTCAGCATGCTGCCTTGTCCCATCCATTCCACATTGTTGGAGCCAGTGGAGGGAGAAAATATCCGGAAACAAGAGCTGGTTTAGCATGAGCAGAGATGTAGCCCCTACTCAGCATGTTCAGCTTTCCCTGGGGGAGTGAGAGTGCTTTTCGGGGAGGTGAGCTTCTGCCGCTGCAGTTTCACTTAAAGCTTCACTTGGAGGCCTTTCTGTAGCTGCAAGCTATGAAGCTGTGTGATCTTTTTCATTGCTTAAAAAGTAAGGGGAATCCCATCCTGATATGTGAGGGTTTACCTGTGTAACTCCTTGCTTAAGGTGGTGATACTTCATTTATTTGGTTGTTGCAGGATTTTTTGGAAAGTGGTTTAAGAGTCACAATTATTAGAATACACAGATATGCTTCATGTATTTCCATTACCTGACTCATCTACACATTAGAAGCCACATTTATTTTCCATGAAAAAGCAAAATCTTGTCATGTTTAAAATTTTTTAATATGTAATAATTTTCTTAACAGTTTGAGATATATATTCATAGTGTTTAACCTATGACATAAAATGCTTGTTAAATTCCTGATTGTTTTGGTTATAGTCGGTATATTTAATATTGTCCTTTTTAGTTGACTTTCAGTGTTTTGAGATATTATTTCAAGGAATAGTTTAAAAGTGAGCTGCAAAGGATTTCAGAAAAATTGGGCTTGTGCCCCATTTTTGTTTCTTTATGACTTCTTCTTTCCCCCTCACTTTTACCTGAGAAATATCAGAAATGTCAACTCTGGTCTTCTATAGTTTTTGTGGGAGTACCTTTCACATGTCTTAGAGGATGAATATTGTGAACGTTCACCTTAATATAAGAGGCCATGATGTTGAATCTTTAAACAATGTCTCCAAAATGTTAGTCAATTAAGTTAAATAGGCATCGACCAAAATACATACACACACACAAACACACCCACCCACCCACTCACCTGGAATTTTAGGTATTCTTAAGGACTTTTTCCCTTCTCAGTTCATGTTTTCTCACTCTTGTAAAGTTTTTGTTTCGCTGTTTCTCAAGTCACACAGACCTGAATTTCTAAAGTAAAAACCAAGCAGAAAAAACTAACACTCTTTTTTTTTTGGGTGGGGGGGTGGGGAAGGAACCCTTTAGGCCTTTATACACCATAAAGAAGCAAAAATAAAAAAAATGCACAGACCCAATTTTTTCCTCCTATGCAAGTCTCTTTAATTATATGCCTCCTGTGATATGAAGGAAAAGTGAATGCAATGTTCCATGTTACTTTTAAATATATATAAAGTGTGAATAATATTTTGTGTATGTGTGTGTGCTGTTTTTACTTTCATAAAGTTTGGTTGGCCTGGTGGAAAAACTGATTTAGTATTGCAACTGGTCCTAAAATTATTACCGTATATACTCGTTCATAAGCTGAATTTTTTTAGTAAAAAAAGGGAAGCACCAGAGAAGGGGGTCGGCATATGAACGGGTATAGAGAGGGAGAGGTGGGACACAGCCCCTCCCCCCAACAGAGGGAGCAAGGAGAGGCAGCACAGCCAGCAGAGACGAAGGGAAGAGGCGGGGCCAGAGTCTCTCCGCTTCTGGCCACGCTGCTCTCCCCCCAGCCTCTGGAGCAGCTGCAGCTCCAGGGCTGGCAGGCTGCAGCCGTGTGCCGCTCGGCCCTCCCTCCCCCCCCAGAGCAGGCTGTGGCCACGCTGCCCGGCCTGCTGGAGCATGCTGGGGCCGTGCCACCCGGCCCAGCCTGCTGGAATATGCTGCAGCCGCACTGCCCGGCCTGCCGGAGCAGCTCCAGCCAGGCCAGAGACATCCTCCCCAGTTAAGGTGGGAAGGGATGGGATGGGATGGGGACAATGTGGGGGTCCTGGGCTAGGGGTGGGGTCATGTGGGGGGTGGTCACAGGGGTTACTTCCCTGACTCCCAGCTTCTCCCCCACAAAAAATTTCCCCACCAGTTGCTGTCCCAGCCCGTGAGGGTAAGCAGCTGGCGCGCCGGGACACTTTGTTTACTTAGGTTTACCTCCGTGCCTGCGGACGCTCGAGGTAAACAAACCATCTCAGCCCACCAGTGGCTTATCCTGATGGCCTGGGAGTCAAAGTTTGCTGACCCCTGAATTATAGGGTCGGTTTATAAACGGGTTATAAAAATTTTCCATTTTTACATATCCATCTTGAGGGGATCGGCTTATAAACGAACCGGCTTATGATCGAGTATATACGGTATATATGTATGTCTATACATATACGTTAGCCTTTAGAAATCTTTAAAGGCCCACTAATTAATATTTAATATTCTTATAGACAAGGCCCAGCTACTTGAAATAGCCAAAGCTAATGCAGCTGCCATGTGTGCTAAGGCTGGTGTCCCCTTACCACCAAGCCTACTGCCTATTATAGCTCCAGCAAAGAAGGAGGAGAAAGTTACTCAGAAGTCAGCAAGAGATACAATAAAGGAGCTCACTGAGGTAAGGAAATGAAATTTGAAAATAACTAACCACCTGTTACTGTTAATAACTAGGTGTCTGGTCAAGCTGTAATTCTGTATGTTTAATTCTCCTGAAAGTCTGCTTGTGGGAAGACTGCAAGATTGAACCCTAATTGTTTATCATGTTTTCTTCACAACTTATATTAATATTGAAAATTTGATATTTGTCATCTTATAGCAGTCAGTCACTGACTTTTATAATTTAAAAATATAAAAATTTCACACTTTTTACTCTCTGAATCAAATTTTATCCTTTACTGCACATGTTCAGCTCCTCTAGATTTTGGTGAGACTTACCTATGCATACCCATGGACAGAATTTGATGATTAAAATTATGACCTGTACCAGTTGCAGTATATTAAAGTTCTTTTTGTTCAGATCACGAAAGAAATCTTTGCACCTTGTTTCTTCTGTCACAGGAAACTTCATGCTGTCTGATTTTGCTAAGTTCTGGGATGTGTTCTCAAGTTTTCACACTGAAAAATTTCTATTCAAAGATGCCATTGTGTCATTTTAAAAACTATCACAGTTCTGACATCTAAGCTTTTTTATGAAATAAAATAATTTTAGTGTTCATGGAAAAGATGCCATTTCACATAAATAAAGACTGAAATTTGACTATCCACATATTAAGTATAACACGGTATAGTGGCAGTGCAGGCTTCCCCCCCATTGCCCCACGACACAGATGTGCTTGAACCTTGACTTGGAGGGACTTGACACAGATAATAGCACAGTCTCCAAGTATATTCAGTTTTTGGTTTCTGCTGAGACTGACAAGAAGTGTGCCATTGCAATGGTAGTTTTTGTGGTATGGCTCCTTCTCAACTCCGAATAGGCCATCAAACAATCATCAAATGGTTATAACTTCTGATTGCGGTTGATATGAACTGGAGTTGAACCAATAAGTTATAGATGATTGGCTCTAAATCTTTTTACCAATCCCCTGAGCCATGTAATGTCTCCAATTTGTTACTAATATATAATGATGAATGGTGACATTGCCACTATTTTCTTTGCTCCTTTTCATGACAGAAAAACACCATTAATTATTTTGGCTGTCAGAATTTCCAACTTTATAATGTTCTCAAACTCACCTCAAACCAATGCAGTTACAGATACCTCTGGAGCAAAAAGTACAAGCCAGTCTATAAGTAATAAATAGTAATTTGTTATTAAATGCTAGTCCACCAGTTGTTTTCAGGAAAATATTTGTTCTCTCATATTCCAGTCATAGTGTTACTGCCTACCCTAAAGTTGCTTTTACATATTCTTGGAAGAGTAACAACTTGGACTGCCAAATAGATTTATTTTTAGCACCTCCCCACTTACTGTACATTTTTAGGTTTCACTTCCACAGTATGCAAAGTGGGATTGTCCTGTTCAGTTTTTCTAACTTGCAAAACATTTCAGAGGTGTCCTAGTCTTTCTTTTAAAACTCTTGCACCTGGGAAGATTTCTGCACTGCCAGTGAAAACCAGTAATTGTTTCTTGGGTTTTTCCTTGCAGTCATTTTGTGTGGAAATCTTCTTGCAGGTCAACTAAATAAGTGAGCTGTCTTCTGTTATTATTATTTATTATTTTATTTTATTTATTACTACTACTACTACTACTATTATTAAACACTTATGTTGTGGTGCCTAAAAGCCCCAATCAGGAGAGGGGCCCCATTGTCCTGGGTGCTAGTGCTGTACAAGCACATAATAAGAGACAGTCTGTGCTTTTGAAGAGCTCATAATTTGAGCCTTGGATCCTGCAAATAGCTCCATGCAGCCCCTTTGATTATAGTAGGGCTCTCGATGGATATAGGAGTAGGGCTCAAAGCCTATCTAGACAAGATGGACACACTTCAATGGATAGAGAATGTACAAGTAAATGGCAGAGGTATACGTTCATGCTAGTTGAATTTTTTTTAAAGATTTCCCCAAACGATCAACTCCTCCTTTATAATTCCTTTATTCCTGATTTTAAATATTTATTTCAACGAATTTGTCATTGTAGAAATAGGGAATGTTTCTGTTCAGATGTTCAGATTGATTCAGAGTTATTTTTTGGTAGAAATGCAAGAAGATTGCACAAAGCACAGATGACGTGATCGTGAACAAGCCTCATGATTCTGATGAAGAGGAGGAAGAACGCCCTTTCTACAATCATCCTTTTAAACTCAATGAACCTAAACCCATTTTTTTCAACTTAAATGTAAGTACTTTAATCAATTATAGATTATAAATGTTAATTTTGTTTTATTTTAGCACATTTATGTAGGTACAGGAAAAACAAATTTGGTGACCCTTATCAATGGAGGAAATTTTAGTTTGTTACAGAATTATAGTTTTTATCTTGACATGGATTTGCAATGGAATGTTAACAAAATTTCAACAACAACATACCTACTTGAATGCCATAGTAAGAGACTGGTCAAAACCCAGTGAAGTCCATGGCCAAGTTAAGAGAAACTTTTGGCGCTAGATTAAAACTCACTATTTTTCTTTCTCCAGCAGTTCACACTCCATGCCAGGTTCCAGAGGCAGCTGGCACTTCCTTGCAGGCAGCTTCTTTCCTGGCCTGGGCAAGCTTGTTCCCCTCCTGATTGGGGTGGGGTGGGAGGGGCACTGGTGGTGAAAACAACTCTCTTTCTCCCCCCCCCCCCCCAGGTCGGGGGAGGGGAGCGTGAAAACAGCACCTCTGGCTTTCGGGAAAGCAGCACAGACCCCAGTGCTGCTCCTGCTCTGGCTGTCTTGGGCTGGCAGCGGGGGTCACAGCTTTGCCTGCGAATTTCAGTGTCTTCAGCGCCTACACCTAGCTGTAAGTGGGTGCCCGTCATGTAGGGGTTGGGGTGGGGACAGACTGCCTAGATGTGCCTACCTTTAAGATGCAATACAGGCAAAGTACAGTATTTGCCTTTATTCTTTAAAAAAAACAAAAAAAAAACCACCACACCTGGGCTGGTAATGAATGCTGTATATTATTGAGGTCGCCTGACACTTCCCATTATAGGATCATGTTTTCAGTTGCTTATAACTTTGCCAAACTTTAAGCATTTGGGCTGAAGTTTTCCATGCCAGATGGCTGCCTAAGGCTGAATATACTTTTCTGGAAAATTTCAACCAGAATGGTTAAGCTGTTTCTGAGAATTGAACCTAGGGAAAAAACACTTTTTTTGCCCATGTTAGAAGATTCTGGCAACCGTTTAGGTTTTCTTGTTATTTTTTGAAAAAAGAACAGGAGTACTTGTGGCACCTAAGGTGCCACAAGTACTCCTGTTCGTTTTGTGGATACAGACTAACACGGCTGCTACTCTGAAACCTGTTATTTTTTGAACAGCTTTAGCACCCCTATGCTTTAAATCAGAGACTTGAAATTTAGCAGGGATGTGGCCTTTGTATCAGGGATGAATGTGCCTCTTGCTGTGCCCTTGAAAATCTGACCAAATATGGCCAAATTATAACACCTTGACAAATCTTACTTCATACATGCTCAGTAGAGATTTTTTCATATTTTATCTAAAATCTCTGAAGATTTCATCCTTATTGAGCATGACTGAATCTCTCTCCGCTCCTAGTGCTGACTAGGCTTCACGGTATGGCAATCAAAGTCCTGAAGAATATAAAAAAATGTACAATTAAATGAAATATTATGTTTTTAAGGCTGGTATTATTTGTTACCCAGATAAAGCTCAGAATAATAAATTAGGCAATGTAACGGTGTAGAGATAGATACATATATACAGAAAGCTAGCATGTAGCCTTGCATAATTGCTGCTTATTTAATACAGCCCTTATGCTGGCAGCAAGTACTGTATATACTTGTTCATAAGCCGAATTTTTTTAGTAAAAAAAGGAAGCACCAGAGAAGGGGGTCGGCTTATGAACGGGTATAGAGAGGGAGAGGTGGGACACAGCCCTTCCCCCCAACAGAGGGAGCAAGGAGAGGCAGCACAGCCAGCAGAGACAGAAGGGAAGAGGCGGGGCCAGAGTCTCTCCGCTTCTGGCCACACTGCTCTCCCTCCAGCCTCCAAAGCAGCCGCAGCTCTGGGGCTGGCAGGCTGCAGCTGTGCCGCTTGGCCCCCCCTCAGAGCAGGCTGCGGCCGCGCCGCCCGGTCTGGCCCGCCGGAGCAGTCTGCGGCCGTGCTGCCCAGCCTGCCGGAGCAGCTCCAGCCAGGTCAGAGACATCCTCCCCTGGTCCTTCCCAGATAAGGTGGGAAGGGATGGGATGGGGAGAGTGTGGGGGTCCTGGGCTAGGGGTGGGGTAATGTGGGGGGTGGTCACAGGGGTTATCCCCTGACTCCCAGCTTCTCCCCCCCAAAAAAATTTCCCCACCAGTTTCTATCCCGGCCCGTCAGGGTAAGCAGTTGGCGCGCCGGGACACTTTGTTTACTTAGGTTTACCTCCGTGCCTGCGAATGCTCGAGGTAAACAAACCATCTTGAACCACCAGCGGCTTATCCTGATGGCCTGGGAGCCAAAGTTTGCTGACCCCTGAATTATAGGGTCGGCTTATGAACGGGTTATAAAAATTTTCCAGTTTTTACGTATCCATCTTGGGGGGGTTGGCTTATAAACGAACCGGCTTATGATCGAGTATATACGGTACTTTATAGTTTAGAATGCAAATATATTTTTGTTGGTTTCATGTTTTCATATGCTCAAAACTTTCTGAAGTATTCACCTTTGGGGTAAAATTTTCCCTGTTTGGCTTCTCCCCAAAAGTGGATTTTTTTTATTTTTTGAAAGATTGAAGAAAATACCTTCAGCTGTTTTTTCAGGTTTGAATGAGTGGAAAGAAAATGAAATATAGAACATTTTTTCCACTTTAAAACATTCTTGAATATGTGGAAAACTTGTGACTGCAGTTTGGAATGGTCTTACAGAGAGTTTTCGGTATATTTTTTGCCAAGTTATCTACCATGTGGACACTCTTATTTTGGAGTAAGAGTGGCTTTTTTTTTCGGCTTAGTTTAAATCCCTTCCAAAATGAATGTCCAGAATAAGTCTGTCCACACAAGGAGTAATACCAATATAACCAGTAGTTTAAATTCATACCCTGCTTTCTACTGGTATAACTTCTCTGTGTATAGAGAAGTTCTTACTCATGTGTTTAGCTATTCACAGGATCAGGACCAAACACCGGTCATGTGAGGGCTGAGCAAAAGATACTGTCATTGCTGCTCAGTTTAGAAACTAGAGGCTTAACAGTAGTTAATTAGGGTGGCTAAGTTTTTGATTGAACTCCATTGTGAGAGTCAAGAACAGTGAACAGAGCACATCCTCCATCACTTGCCTTCATTTTAAATCAATCTACCAAATGCACTTCCTTGTTTATTGGGGACATTCAGCACCTCAGAATGGCAATGTCTAAGTGTTTGGGCTTGCTGCATAATCGTTTACACACTGTTGTGGAACTTCTTTCAGGTACTGAGTGGGGGGTGGTGGGAAATGCTGAAAAAGTTCTATGGCAAAATGGAAGCGTTTCTACAGTGAGTGAGTGACTGGAAGAAAACTTCTTCAGATCATACAGATTTAGTTAGTTTTATACAGGACAACAAAGCATTTCAAAATAATACTGATGGACAGAGGAAGAGTTTAATGGACTGGGTGTACCAGAGAAAAATGGAATATGCTTATTGAATGTCTCTCTTCTCTGAAAGACTTACCAATATTCTAGGATCTTTGTTGCCTGCTGGAACTGTTGCCTTCATGCTGAGTGAAAGGCATCCCACTTAAAACAAACAAAACCCTTTTTCCTGTACTATTTTCGTATGCAGAAATCCTCAGTTGCAACACAGACGGCTATAAATAGCAAGGAACTTAGAAATGCTGGAGTTTGCATCTTCTCAAACTAAAATATTTTTTGGATTATATGTCAGCATTATTACAATACAAGAAAAGTTTTTATCACCTTAAACACAGCTCAGGGAACTCTGGGACTTTATTTTTGCTGTATCCACAAAAAACTGTACCAAGAGTGAGGTGATCAGCCATGTGTTTTGTAAATCTGAAGAAGCTTCTGGTAATAATTGTAGATGATAGTGTAGCTTTTGGACAGTGTATATTGTATTCTGTCTGAGAACTGATTCAGTTTAATTAGATCCCATGGTTTCATTGCTGTTAATCTTTTATTTTTGTTAATATAATAGTATTTGGTTTTCATTATATATTTAAATCTCCCAAAAGGAATATGCAGTACAAGGGGAAGAGGGTGAGGAGAGTTCTTTATGGCAATGTGTTCTCTCTTGCTAGTGTGATCAGATATTTAGAGTGACTGTACCTTGTGGGCACTTAGTTTCCTGACTTCTCATCTAGAGGTGGAGTCTGTTAATATCCCCTCCGAGACATCAATCCGTCATCTGTGTACAACTCTAGCAGGTTTCTCTTTGGCTAGGTTTGATCAAGATGGTGTTATTATAGTACTACAAGTGTATATAGTACAGTAATATGCAGTAAGTGAATTGTGCTTAGCCAGCCCCTGCCATTAAGAGCTGATAACGTAAAACCACAAGCAGGAAAAATATGTTGCAATACACAGATAGAGGGGAGACCTGAGAGCATAAGACTTGGAATTAAGAACCCCTGAATCCTAATCCTAGTTTTGACACAAATTTCCTTCTGTGGCCTAGGCAAGTCATGTAATGTTTCTGACTGTTTCCCCATGTGAAAAATGGGTCTAAATCTTACCTACCTGACAGGAGTGTTGAGGAATAAATAATATTGTAAAGCTATTTGAAGATAGAAAGCACTATATTAGTGCTAAGTATTAGAACAAAGAGAGAAGTATATTCATAGCTTGAATGCTTTACAGAATATAGATGAGTTTTTAGAATTTTTTTGGGAGAGAGAGAAGGCACTGTTCAGGAGTCAAAACTAGATACAATCTTTCTGATGTATTAATTATAATTGTTCTTTATATACATGCTTTCCAAACAATAGCTTACAGTTGTTACTTTGTATAAATTTAATTGTAGAACTATAGTAAGTTAATTTTATATGTACTTTAGATGTTCCTTCGTTCTGTCTTCTCTTTATTTTGGATATACTGTACACTGTTGAAATCAGTGATACCTGCACACTTGCTCTTTGTTGTTTTTATATTTGTATATTCTGTATAAGCATCACGTGGCAAGACCTAGCTTTGACAGTGCATCTAGGTCTTGGTTTTCTTGGGCACACAACATTTGATCTTCTGTTTTTGCGGGTTTTATTCCATAACTAAGTATATGTAGCATTCTACTTCGGTAGTCCACTTCAATAAAACACCAGTGCAAAATGTGTCATCTCTATGACAGAATAGGAATATATTCTCTTCCAGAACCAAGTAAAGATATGATGATGCTGTTAAATGATACTTTGAGTTACTTAGTTTTCAGTTTCTTTATTTACCTGCATTTTCCCCACATTTAATGCTTAAACTGTATATGTGCCAGAAGATTTAAAAAGCAATCATTTTAATTGTGTGATTACAACAAGTATTCCATTAATGTAGCTGAAGCATTTATTTTTATTTTGTGAACGTCATGATTTTTTAATGTGGAGGGGAAGGGTCCAAAGTCACATGTTGGATTTTTCACAGAGCAATCAATGTTTTCTTCATTCTTTAGAATTAGGCATTTCCTGTATTGTTCTCATCATCAGCAATAATAATTTTCCTTTATTTAGCACCTTTACTCCCTAATAATTCTAACACTGTTTATGAACTGAAAGAAAAACTACCCATTTAGGTGTCACTTCACTCATCATATGTGAAACAAGGATCCAGTCTCAAAATTTTAAATAACATCTTCCTGATTTTAGTTCAGAGTATCTTTAGAGTTTTAATTTTAATACCAGCTCAGGAGAGAAAACTGAAATAGTGTTTGGCACTCAGTGTTCACAAAACCTACAGTAATTGTTTCTATGGAATAGGACCATGTATGCATATTGTGCTTTATCATTTCCTAATCGTAAAATGCTTCTTTTTCTTTAAGACCACTCCTATCGTAAAACCAGCACCAAAAAATCAGGTAACTTTGACAAAGGAGTTCCCTGTCTCATCTGGGTCTCAACACAGGAAAAAGGAAGCTGACAGTGTCTATGGAGAATGGGTTCCAGTTGAGAAAAGCAAAGAAGAAAGCAAAGATGATGTTTTCCCCAAACCAGCTCTTGCACAGGTAGGGAAGGGAAATAACACATCTTATTTTACAAAAAGAAAGCTGTTACCTGCTCGCTCTGGGATCTAGTTGTAATCTTTGTAAAGAAATTGTTCATATCAGTAGTGTTTGCCCTTTTAATGACTAAATCGGCTAACCTATTTTGGCTTTTGGAGATAGGCTGTTCATATGAGTGCTAATTATTGCAGCATATAGTCAGCCATGGTATTTCCGTCTGTCCACGGGTGACCTCTTAGTTTCTGTGAAATTTAATCTTTCACTTCAAAATAAAAACTAAGCTTCTAGCCCTTGTCATTGCCAAGAAAACCTTCCAAGCTTAGTCTTCCTGAACCAGAGAACCTAAAACAATAGTTATCAATGGCCTACCAATGTTAAATCAACATCAACTTGAAATGTAATCCATTTAAAAAATGATTTGAAAGTAGTTTCCAGTACTACATATATATACCTGACTGTGTCTGCCCATTTCTGTAGTTTTACAATCACATTTTCCTAAATATTTGTCTTCTCTCTTGTTTTTTATGTAAAACCCACAAAATGTAAAGGAGAAATTGACTATGTATAAAGTGGTGCTGTCAAATACACAAAATAAACAAAGTGGAAAAAATAGAATAGTGAAATAGTAAAAATTTTCTTTAATCACTTTCAGTCAAAGTAATATTTTGTGTTTCTTGTAAATATAGTAGGCAAAACAAATATTTCACCTGCAAGTGTTGGTTTTTTCTTTTTAAAAACAAAAACCTGTAACATTTATTTTTTAATGCCAGAACTCTGTTAGCTGGCTGTTTCTTACTGAATTAATATATTTTTAAATTTGACAAGTTCAGTATTAAAGGACTATGTGTGAAGAGCTTCATTGAATGTATTTTAGTACTGGTTCAGAATTACATTGAAATGCAGTTGTTTTTTACTATTTATTAATTTAGGAAGTATTAACAGGTTTAGAATCCTTGCCATGTAAATATCGGAAGCAAAAGAATAATCATTACAACAATGAGCTTTTGTTTAAAGAGACATTATACCGGAATATAAACATCAGATCTCTATTTAGGAGGACTTTCCCATATTACAGAGTGATCATCATTACAATACCTATGACATTTTGTTTTTAGTTATTTTATTTAATTGAGTGAAATCTCCGATTACACATATTTAACAGACCAGGATGTCTATCAAATGTAAATATTCAAAAAAAAATTGAACAGGTGTGGTGGGGTTTTTTGCAGGTCAATGTACTTTGTCTGAGTATTGAATAAAAGGTAACTAAACATCTAAGTATCTATTTGTCCTCTGTCTATTTTGCTGAGTACATAACTGGTGTGTTAATTGTTCTATAATAACCGCCTTCCGTATTTTTGAGACATTCCTCTACAGTTGGACTATTTTTCTTTTTGCAATGAGAGTCTATCAGTAACTGAGGAGCTACTAGTAGATGAGAGATTAATTCTTCATTACTTTTTGTGTGACCATTTCCTCTAGGAAGCCACATGAGGATTACCAAAGGATCATTTGGTAATAAATATCCAAAAATATTTGGTGATGGATTACATCCCAGTATTCTCTGATGACTGGGCATGTGCCCCATATATGCATAAAATCTCTTCTTTCACTATGATTTCTCCCAACATTTGTTCCCATTCCTGTGTGTGTGTGTGTGTGTGTGTGTGTATGTATGTATGTATGTATAATCTGACTGGTGTGAGGTACCATTGAAACAATATCTTAAAGTAATTTTCTTTTATTGTGCTACAGTCTGAAGTTGTTGGTACACTTTTCCAAATCAAACATCATTCCTCTGGTATAATTTTTCTATCCAGGTCCTTTTCCTAGCATGGACATGTTTTGTTAGGAAAGTTGTCTGCAAAGATTGAATTAGTTATAACCTATTTGTTTCCTAATTGGCCAGATGCCACCACTTCTATTAAAGTTGGGTTTCTGTATAAAACAAATTTTCTAAAGAAATAGAATGTCTAACTAGAAAGTACTGTTACCATGGGAGAGTGGGCCAGTTAAAGTTAGTTTTGATCTCTAAATAAGTTAGAAAAGTTTCTTTACTCAGTAGCTAGTCAACCAGATGTATTCCATGTCTCTCCCAATTTTTAAAGAATCTCTGGTTCGTAATTTGGGTTAATATCTGGATTATTTGCAGTGGGTATCATTTGGTAAGGTAAAAGATCTTTTATATCTAGTTCTATCGCAGATCTGTAGAGTAGCCTTACTATAGGATGTGTATAAATTTCTGGAGGGTGTGTTTGTTTTTGTTTTAATTAATCCATGGTAGCCTAGCGATGCACACACCACCACAATGTTCTTGCTCCGTAAAGTGTTTGGATGGGTTAAAGCGCCTCCTGTCCACTGCTGCTTTGGGCTGGCTGGCTTGATAGTACCATAGAATATTTGGAACCAGCTAGTCCATCCTGTTTTAATGGGCTTGTACAAAGTATCTTCACTTTGTTTTGGTCTTATTCCATATACATTTTAATACAATCCTCTGTATTCCTGCTAGAGTTTTATCTGGAATCATCAAAGAAATATTTTGAAACAAGAAGAGAATCGTTGGCAAAATGTTAATTTTGACCCTAGCTGTTCTTCCCAATCAAAAAAATTGCATACTTCCCCCAGCATGCCATTTGCTGAAGTAGTGTTTGACATTCAAATAATAGAATTCTTTGAGACTATTTAAGATTTTGAATTCCCAGGTGTCTTCTAGAATTTGTTGCCCATTTGTACCCAAATGTTTTCTGGAGGAATAGCTTTTCAGAGTTGGACAAATTTATAGCTAGGTTTTCGGATTTGGCAGGATTTACTTCAAATCTAACCCAAAGTCATGGATTTTTTTTTAGAAACTAATTTTAGGGAAATATTTGGTTTATATAAAAATATTACATTATCTGCATTTAAAGCTATTTTCTGATGTGTTCCTGCAAGTTTTATTCCTGTGATAGATTCCTTGTTCCTCATCATTGTGTGAAAGGCTCCATGACCAGTGCAAAAAGTAAAGGAGGCAATGGACATCCCTGCCTAGTCCTTCTGTGTAATTCAAACACGAGATTTAACCCCAATAACTCACACAGCTGCTTTGGGGCTGGTGTCAAGAGTAGTTTTTTCCATTTAAGGATCTGGGGCCAATGTCCCTACGGGACAGGGCTTGAAATGGAAAGCTCCACTCTGTTCTATCAACGTCCTTCTCTGCATCAAGGGATGATAAAAAAAAAAAAAATGAATCTTTTCGTGATCTGGTATGGTGGATGATCCCAAGAACTCGCTGAATACTGTCTGACATTTGTCTATCCTTAATGTATCCATTTTGATCTGGATTTACATAAGCTGAGAGCATGGACTCCAATCAGTTAACTAGTATTTTTACGAAAATTTTTGTCATGATTCAACAGTGATGTGGGCTTATAAGAGCTGCTTAAGGTAAGGTTTTTTCTAGCTTTAGGGAGAATAACCACAGTAGTTTCTTTAATAGGTTGTGGAAGTTTATCCTCTAACAAAATAGCATTGAAGGTACCTCTCAAGGGACCCACTAATACCTCCTTAAATAAAGTAGAACCCCATTTATCTGACCCTCCATTACCCGGCTCTCTGTATTAACCAAACAACTAGCGCACACATTTCAGGAGTGGGCGATCTCTCTTGTGGCCGCTACATGGCGCTGCAGCCCCGCACTTTCCCATTCTCCCGATTATCTGATCTGGCTCCAGTCCCAATTAGATAAACTGGTTTGTGCTGTACTTTGTAAAATTATTATGGAAAGCCATCAGATCCTGGAGTTTTACTACTTTTCATGACTTGCTTTTTGCTGCTCAGATTTTTTCTTTTTATTTCTTTATCTAAAGTTTATAATTTTTGTTTATCTTTGGCAAATCTGTTACTTCCAGATATTTTTGAATAACTTTAGAGCTTGGAGTATCTGAGGTAAGAAGTTTTTATAATAAAAAGCAAAATTAGCACATAGTTACATTCCCTGATGAAATATCTTTTTTCTGATTGTTTTTAATTGGTGGAACAATTCATTGCTCTTGAATCCTTTTTAGCTTTCAAGCCAATAACCTATCAATTTTATTTCCTTTTTCAGAAACTGTTTGCTTTGTATACCTAAGGGGCATCTGTCATCAACACATTCAATTTCCACATATTTGTTAATTGTTCACACACTTTTTTTGGAACCTGTGTTTTTATGAAGGTCTTGTAGCCTTTTTATCTCCTGTTTTAGTTCTGCCTTTTCTTGAGCTCTTTCTTTTTTTCAGATGAGAGGCTCTGCATATCAGTTGGCCCCTAACCAGTGCCTTACATGCTTCCCAAAGAAGGCCTCTTTTTGTATTGTCTGTATCATTTATTTATACATCTTGAAGAAGCAAGCAGTTCATTTTCCAAAAGATTAATGTTTGGGACCCATACCAGCTATCAAATATTGCTTCCACTGGTGCACGATCTGACCTAATGGTGCCAATTTCTGCAGATCTTGTCAGCTTCATTAAGGATTTAGAGATTAACATTAAATCTAGTCTAGCATATAACTGATAAGTGTATGGATAACTGTGTAATCTCTTTCCCCTGGTTGCAGTTCTGCTTCCCTATCAGATCTGTCCCAGAAAGGGTTCATGTATAATTTCCCCTTCCCCAAAGTGTTGCAGTATTTTAAAGAAGCCCTTAAAAAAGGGTTTGGGTTTTTTTTTGCTTTCGATTGGGAGCATACACTAAACCCATTGTTATTAATAACACAACAGTTGTGCCCTTCAACAAGATAAGCCATCCCTCCTTCTTAAATTGATTATTAATCTGAAACATACATGTTTAGCAAATACTATGCCCATTCTTTTTATCCCTTTTCTTTGGCTGAAGCAAAAATTGTCTGCTGAAACCAATTACCTTGCATGCCCATAATTTTCCCCTCCTGAAAGTGAGTTTCGTGAAATAGAAAATAATCTGAGTAGTTTTGTTTTTAAATTCTTCCAGGGCTTTTTTTCCTTTTAATCACATAATTTAGCCTTTTG